GGGCTCCCAGTGCAGAGCTTAGTGGTGCCCCCTGGTGATGGGCTGGGCTCCAGCCGCTCCCCGACTCCCAGCCCATCACCTACCCCACCGCGCGAAGACCAATATTGAAGAGCTGAGGAAGCCCCCCGCCCCACCAAGCTCTCCAGCCCAGCCAGGGGGGAGGAAGACCATGTGCTGCTTCCTCTCCCTGTCTGGCAGGAGGCTGCGGGGAGACTCACCCCCCCACAGCACACCCCTCTCAGGGTTGGCACACGGGACAAAGTCCGGCGGCAGTCCCCAAAGCTCACTGCGGTAGATAAAGCATGTGGGAAGGGTGTGGGCTTTCTCGTTGCAGGGGTTCGGTGCCCAGGAGCTCCAGCTGAAGGTGTCAGGGAGGCACAGAGCAAGACCTTCCCAGCCCCCGGGCTCCCACCCCAGGGCCCACCTCACGCCAACAGCTCTGCTGGCAGCTGGAAGGAAGGGGATATGGAAAGATGTCTCCCCCCATCCCCTCCAAAGCAAGGGCAGCTGCCTGCTCTCTGGTGCTGGAAAAACACCCGGTCTCTGTCCAGCCTTGTTCCGCACCAGCTCCAATGCAATCCCACCAGACAGGGAACTGCTGGGGCCCAGCTCCAAGGAGGGGGCAAGGGGCACAAAAGGGAGCACTGCAGAGCACGAAGCAGCTGAAGGGCTGGGAAGCGTGAAGGGGATAGACAAGGAAAAGGATCTTCCTTTGCTAGGCCTTGCCCCAGGCTGAGGCTGTTAAAGCTCCCCATCCTCGTTCCCCACTGCACCTAGGGGGAAAGCAGGGTTAGAAGAGAAGCTGGGCAGACTGGGGAGGGAGTGACGCCTTCGGAAGAGCAGGGAAGGCAACTGTTCACCCACACGAAGCTTTCCACTCCACTCCTAGTCTTGTGGGATGAACATCTCCTGGCGTCTCTGCTCTCCTCCTCGAGGCACGCTCCCTCTGGCCCTCGCCCGGCCATCTGGAGAATAGAGCGTGAGCAGCAGCCCCCCACCCGCCCTCCCCATCTCCTCAGGTTGCTCCAGCCCTGCAGGGCTGGCTTCCCAAGGACGCTGCAGCGTAGTGCCTGCAACATGTGGCCCTAGAGGTTTCCCCAGGACTCCGGCGGGGGGAACTGGTCCACATCCCCCATTTCATTGTAGGTTTGCTCTCCCATGGTGAAAGTCAGCTTGTACCGTAGCCTCACTTTCTCCTGGAGACAGGGGAGAAAGGATAAGGAGTCAGAAGGGGCGGGGGTGGGGGGGTGGAGAAAGTCATGAGGCACAAACCATTCAGGTCTCTAGGAAGCCGCAGAGAGCAGAGGGAATAGGGACAGGGTAACCAGGCTTTGCCCAGGCAGCAAGACCAGCCTGCTCATGCCCCAGGGATGGTGCCGTTACCTTCTGTGGGTTAGCAAGCAGCAGGACTTGTGTGATGGCACTGGGGTGGACGATGGGGTTGAACGCTGGCAGCTCTGTGCCTGAGGGAGGCTGCAGCTTCACCTTCATCACCTAGGGAGAGAGAAGAGCATCCCACACTCCTGAGGGGGACTTGGCAGCCAGAGGCCCTGCTCCTGTATTTGGGGAGCTTCCACTGTCTAGTCAAAGGGAAAAACATTGTGCCGGTTCCTGCTAATCTGAAGGCAATACAACTCGCTCTCAGCCCCACAGAGCTCTCTCCACCCACCCTGCCTTTCCCGCAAAGGGAGAATCACACTTCAGCCCAGTCTGGGGACCTCAGCCCCAGCAGCCACCTTACCTTGGGGACAGCAGACTGAAAGACAATGTTGCGGATGGGCTGTGGGGCCGTGCTAAGCATAGAAATCACCACGACAAGCACATCTGGCCTCTCGGGCAGGGCATCCTTAGCAAAGTGGAAGAGGATGCGGAAGCCGTGCTGATCATACACTGTCACAGGGAGGATGCTGCCTGTGGAAAAGGCAGGGACAGGCAGCAGTCAGCCAGGAGGGAATTGGCCCTGCAGCAACTTCTCCCCATCACCCAAACTTCGTACAAGTGACAGAGGTACCACTCCTCCTCAACCTCCACAAAACCCAACAAGCAAGAAGTTTCCTCACATTCTTCCCTTCCATGTGCGCATG